CCACCTTTAGAACCATTATAATATAATATTATTTATTATTTATGAAGAAAAAATAATAAATATTCAAAGAGATTCTATAGTATCAATGTAATTTGTTTTATATTGTTTATATTATTTAATAATTATTATKAATGTATTGTTTTGTATTATCCAATAAGCATTATTATCATATTAAGTAAATTCAAAACAATTCTTACTTGAACTTCCACAGATCGCTGCAGAATTCGCCTTTCTTTCACCTTTGGCATTAAATGATCTGGGAATTCGAAGGCAGTTGGCACAGCACATTTTTTTWAAACTAACTTTCCACTTACAACTGCTTTATTATTGTCATTCTCAGTAAAATGTAGACTGCATAAAAATGAACTAGAGGTTGGATTGAAATTGATCCGTCTGACAGCATGTATCCATTTTTTTAATCTTTCACTATCATTAAGGGGAAACTTTGGAAATAAATATACAAAGTTAAATAATTTATATAATTATATAGGGACCTATAACTTAAATTAATAGTACAATAAATATATAATTACTAAATAATCAATCACAATTAACATAAATACTAACTTGTGAAATATTAATGCATTTTGATTTTTAACATCACTTGAACTTGAACAGTAAACGCACTACAAAAATTCACCATTGTTAATCATAGAAAAATATGTGTTTAATTGTACATGTAATTATACAAAATCTTTAAATAATTGATAATTGATAATTAATAATTAATCAATTAATAATTGACGGACGTCGATCACAAAATGTATGCCTGTAAATGAATACGGTACGGCGTATTATCAATAAAGACAGAGATAGAAACACCTAAAGTATTCGCTATCTCTTTYTAACACGTTCGCTCGGTTTTATTTACATTAGTCATATGGGCGGTGAGCGTTCCACTTATTAAATTATATAGTTCAATGTAAATGACGGATAATAAATATCGCGTTATCACTTTTCATTATTATTGTTATCACAAACATTTCACGCGCATGCGTATTTCTTATCATAGTTGTCGGGTCTTTGATAAAGACCCTAGGACCCGACTGTCGGGGATATAGCCACAGCGTAACAAATAAGTTAGGTTCTCATRCTTTATTCCAGGGGGGTGTAACTCATAAGCAGTAATCGGAACAGCGTATTAGTACATATACCAACCACCGGGCGTGCCACATACGATTCTACCGTTCACCTAATCAGTAATCACCGTTCAACCGTMACGGGCGTAATGACATTTTAGCTTTTGACTTTGACTTTGACTGTGCAATCGCCAATCTGGGGGCCAATTCTTGAAATCGTGACAAACTTTGTCGCATGCGATAAAATTTTTGTCGCATGCGATAAAATTTTTGTCGCATGCGATAAAATTTTTGTCGCATGAAAATAAATATTTGGTATTCTTGAAAAGATGTATGACTTTAGTCGAACGAAAAACATTCGACTGTTTATGACTTTTCAATTTTCGTCGTTTTCGAGTCAAATGTCAAATATATATTAGTGATTTGTTTCAAGTTAATATTAATTACATTATAAGATAAGTACATTAAGTACATAGTATTAGTATTTAGTTTGACCATTATTAATAATGCCTAAAAGTCAGTACCAGTGTTCAGTGGATGGATGTAGAGAAAAATGTAAGTAAATTAATTTATTATTGTATTACATTTCTAGTATTGTCATGCATTTAATGTAATTTGTGTCATTTAATTATTGTTGTAAATACATTATAGATATTATGACACACCGCTTTCCAAATCCTCGGTTACATAAAGATAGGCTATTAGAATGGATAAGACTAGTTGGATTAACAAATATGAAYCCCGAAACAGTGTACAACAAAAAAAGAATTTGTCACCGTCATTTTTCTGATGACTGTTTTAGCGTTGGTACAAAGAGGCTTAATTGTAATGCTTATCCAACTTTATTTATGCCTGGTAAGTTGTGTATATCTACAATTTTAAATTTCATGAAATTTTCAAACACTAATTATTATGTGCTTTCTATAGTGTCTAGTGAGGTTACATTTATACATAATGTTCCATTACAACTTCATAGCACATCGATTAACCAACATTTCATATTGGAAACTCCTTGTAATGCTATTGATAATGTTTCAAGTATTGAAGTGGATGTTCCTCAACCTCATTGTAGTTCAGGTAACAGTACATACAGAAGCTTCGAAGCAATATTCTAATTAGTTTGGGCCAATACTTGTACTTAAATAAATTATGTATACATTTAGATAAATTTATTTTTTAATTATTTTTTAGATAATCTTGATGTATCTGGAATTGGTACTTTAAATTTAGAAGACACTGAAACACTARAAGATASAGGAATTACAATAAATGATGTCATGCGTAAGTTATTTGTTTCTAATTGTATCTATATAATTATTTATTTCATTTCATTTATTGCATGATTAAAATTGCTACTCACTACCTTAGCATGCACGCTTTAATGCTTCGATAATTTTTTTACCTATAAAATAGGTAATAATKGTCTAGTTGAAAAATCCAAATTTGGTGAAGCTGCTAATAAAAAATCAAGTAACCAATCTGGTAGTTTAGCTTATTCTTTCTATAATATTCAGGGCTCGAAAACTTTTTTCATTATTTTACGAWTCTGTTTGTATATACAATCTTACTCAATCAGCTTTCGAGTCCTCCTAATCATTAATATTACATCTATAAACTTTAACTAATGTAAWCTATTTCAATTGTAGGTCTGTTAAAAAAAATAGGGTTTAGTCGTTGCAATCAACTAACACCTCATTGCAGAAAGTTTTATGGTATTATAAACAAATTAATTAAGCAGCTTAAAAAACAGGGAGCCAAAAAAAAATTATTTAAACAGCAACTAAAGGCAGCAGAAAGTATGTCTGAAAAGTATCTCAATAACAAATTTTCAGAGAAAATGACAGTTGTCGCTTCATTATTTACTAAATTGCAATTAAGAGAAACCAAAAAGAAAAACAAAGGTCGGAGGTTCTCTTTAGATGAAAAAATAATGAGTTTATCTTTGTATAAGCGTAGCCCAAAGTGTTATCGCCTGTTGTCCATTATGTTTACTCTACCAAGCCCTAAAACATTACAAAATGTCTTAAGTAGTGTGTCGATAACTACTGGAGTCAGTCCAATAGTTATGAAAGTGCTAAAAGAAAAATCTGAAAAATTGAAACCACTGGAAAGGTAACTAAAATCACATTCTAATCAACGTTTGTATGATAAAATAATTAAATGTACATTCATTTAGATATTGTACATTAATGTTTGGTGAAGTGTGTCTAMGCAGTGGTTTACATTACAACAAAACAACCGATCAAATTGATGGATTTGTGGACAGTGCTTCCAATAGAAACCAAGAGTATGCTGATCATGCACTTGTGTTTATGGTGCGTGGCATAAAAAAAAAATTCAAACAACCCGTAGCATATACTTTTTGTCAAGGGGCTACCAAACATGAACAACTAGCTGTTTTATTAAAAGAAGTAAGAATAAAATAAATTATGAAATTTGGTACATAAATCTAAAAATAAATTTTTGTGTTCAGGTTGTAAGAGAAGTCCAAAAGACCGGCTTACAAATTGTGGCAACCATTTCCGACCAAGGCCGTTCTAATGATAGTGCCATAAAACTTCTTATGAATGAGACAAAAGAATTTTTTATCAAGCGCAATGAAAAATATACGGATGATATTTATGAAATACAAGTGGATGATCAAAAAATTATCCAAATCGTTCATATTTTTGATGTCCCACATTTGATCAAATGTATAAGAAATCACCTCTTAACAAAAGATTTAGTTTTTTCAATCAATAGGGAGAAAGGTTGTGCAAAATGGTCCCACATTCAAAATCTATACAGTATTGATAGTGCAATACCCGATTGTAAAATGTTACCACGAATTAGCGATCAACATGTAGTACCTGAAAAAATTTTGAAAATGAAAGTGAAATGTGCAACTCAAATTTTTTCACAATGTGTGTCATCTACAATGATGTTCTTATCATGTAAGTAATGAATACATTTCTGTCTAGCTAGTAGTTAATGTATAAATCTGTTTCAAAACAATCACTAATTATACTTTTCATATTCTGTTAACAGCTAAAAATTTGATTGATCCCACTGCTAAGGACACGGCAAGAATCTGTTTGTTCTTTGATAAGTTATTTGATTCCTTGAATGGTAGTTTTGATGGAATARTAGATGGGAAAATTTATCGAACATCAATAAAAAAGGAATCGCCTCATCATGCACTTTGGACTGAGAGTCTTCAAGTATTATCCACAATGAAGTTTATTAATAAAAACGGCAAAACATGTGCTGTACCAACTTTAAACAATTGGATGAAAACAATACGGGGTTAGTATTTTCTATATAATGATGACATTGATATTTTTTAAATATATGTTCATATTAGTATAAAATAATATAATAATAATAAAAAAAATGATATGAAAATCCACCTTCAGGACCAATAACTATTCTAATGTATTTTTTAAATTCAGTTAGTTGATTAATTGTGACATCAGATTCCGGATGGAAAATAATTTTAAGATCTTTTTTCATGGTGTTAAAACAATAAAAAAAATGATATGAAACCTTTAAAGATTCATTTTTTGATATTATGTTTTATTGTTTGATTTTAGGTTTTCAAAGATTGTTCAAAACCTTATCCAGCAATGGCATTCGATCACTCTTACCACGACACATTAATCAGGATCCCTTAGAATGTTTTTTTGGCGCAGCACGAAGTGTCAGCTCAAGTAATCCATCATGCCACGCTTTTGCTTCAGCATATAAGACATTATTGTTGAATAATTTAATGTCATCAAATTCACCAGGCTCCAACTGTGAAGATATAGTAGAAGCAAGTCTAACATCTTATAGGAATTTAATTCTAAAAGACCCTAATGTTACAAATGAGGTACAAAATAATTGTAACATCACTGTTGATTTACCAATTACAATTTATAATGTTCCAGTGGGTATAAATGATATACGTGAGCACGTTCACACATATATAGCTGGTTACATTTTAAAAAAACTAAACAAAAACTTATTTAAAAATTGTAGTATATGTTTAAAAAATCTTTGTGCTAACAATGTTACATCAACACATGATCTCGTAACAGCTAGAGATTACACTATTAACAGACAGTCGTTAAAGTACCCGTCACAGTTATTTGCTTCTTTGGTTCAACAAATAATTGTATATGTAAGCTCACAAATGTCTAAAATTTGTC